AGGACAAGTTACTGACTTATTACCTACACAATTCAAAGGTTTATATTACGATGATCTTTTCAGTTCTCCTTTTATTACACTCGCAAGCAGATGCTCTTTAGATCTAGAGTCTTCCACAAAAATAATGCCTTCAAATAAATAAATAAAGGTATTAATTAACATGTTATTCGTTATAGTAAAGTGCATCTGGGTATATAAAAATAGATTGAATTTGAATGAAGATACACCAGTTTGTATACTCTTTAGTATTTCAAAACTAACTAAAGATATTGAGCATAGTAAGTAAAATGTTAGGGTTCATTATAAACTATGATTTCAACTGGTAACTGGTCTGAACACATTTCCATTGCAAGGCATCCTACCTATCTCCACAATATTTGTTTTAGTGACAAATGTACATTTTTTTTAAACGGTAATGTTCACAGACAAAATTGCCGTTATTGGAGTGACACCAACCCTCACGTTGTCCGGGAAACACATACCACATATTCAGAAAAAATTATCGTTTGGGCAGGAATATTAGGAAACCATATTGTAGGACCTCTATTTATTGATCAAAATTCAGGAGAGAAACTATATTTGAATATACTGAATATGGATATTGTATTCCAACAAGATGGAGCACCATCACATTACTGTAGACAAGTAAGAAACTATTTGGATACTACTTTACACGTTCGTTGAATTGGCCGTAGACGTCCTACAGAATGATCAGCCCGCTCGCCAGATTTGACACCTTCGGACTTTTTTTATGGGGCTATTCGAAGCAAAAGGTGTACGAAACTGTACCTGTTTCGATATTGGATATACGGCAGAGAATAATAAAGAGAATAATAAATATTTGTAGAGATATTGACGTTACTGTTCAAAACTGTTTAAAAATCTGTTTAAAATATGTTTTTCCGTTAATCAACTATCGCCCCCATACGAACGACAACTCTCAGAAGTTGAGAAACTTGTGCGAGTTAAGGACTAACGAGGTCTGATCTTTTAACGTGTGATTCCTAACACTGTGTTCGAAAATGTTCGACGTGAAATATCGGATAGGCTGTTCATATGTCAAGAAGTTCAAGGCAACCATTTCGAGCATCTTCTGAACTGCCTCAAGCTTATTACCTCATGTTATGTAGTAAAATTTCAATGTATTCAGGCAATTATTAAAAGTTCCGCCATTTTGTAGTAGTTGAAGATATTGCCATTATATTCTAGGTTTGTGAATCATTTGTCAGCAGCTTCAAGAAGATGTGTCACAAGACCCCTCTATTCATTTAATTTCAACAGGACCTAAAACTTCACAGCATTCACCCATACTGAAAACTCCCGAACAGTCACCAATTGATTTGCTGACAACTCTCAGAAGTTGAGAAACTTGTGCGAGTTAAGGACTAACGAGGTCTGATCTTTTAACGTGTGATTCCTAACACTGTGTTCGAAAATGTTTGACGTGAAATATCGGATAGGCTGTTCATATGTCAAGAAGTTCAAGGCAACCATTTCGAGCATCTTCTGAACTGACCACAAGCTTATTACCTCATATTATGTAGTAAAATTTCAATGTATTCAGGCAATTATTAAAAGTTCCGCCATTTTGTAGTAGTTGAAGATATTGACATTATATTCTAGGGTTGTGAAGCATTTGTCAGCAGCTTCAAGAAGATGTGTCACAAGACCCCTCTATTCATTTAATTTTTTTCCCAGATGGCGCCCCAGTCGCCATCTTGAAAGTTTCATCTGTTAATTTCACTTTTGAATAAAGTATTCATGCATTAATTTCACTATCCCAAATTTCAATTTTTTGAGTTGACCCATTCAAAAAATAAAAGGGGGGTGACATTAAAGAAATGCACTGTATAATAACAATTTGGATCACATTACCTTTTATCTACGTATTGACTAATAATTTTATTTCATCCGAGTTGAGATAAAAACTCACTAAAAGATTAGTTTTTACAATAAAACTAAACTGAAGATTTTCAAAAAAAGAGTTGAATGAGCTAACCTAAATAGAAAATACAATTGGACTGTACTATAACTGGGATTTATATAGACGTGCGCAAGTTCGATCTTCACCGAACACTACTACAAATCAAATGTGATGTTTTTGAAATGTTTAATAGAGGAGAGGAGCTGAAGCGTTAATTCGTCATCTTTACGAGTAACAGCTGGTAAGAAAATCAAAAAACTCTACAAAACAATGCAACAGATCTGTTCTTCGACAATTTTATTTCTTTTATAAAAGAGGTTTGTGCGAATTTTGGCTTGTTTAGGTTACCAGGAAAGCTATAGGAATTATCTCAAAAAGTGCGGATTCCACAAGTGACATAATTCTAAAGAATATATCATTATCATTACCATGTTACCTGAATTAGATATTCATGATAAAAAAAACATCAAAATATGTTAGAAGTCAAGCCTAATACATCCTGTTAATCAATTTTCCCAAACAAAGGTTCTAACAGTGCATTCTAGATGCATACTTCAAACCTCTGAATATTGAAACACAAAAAAATTTCGTTCTTAAAAATAGTTCGACACACAGGTATTATACAGGAAAAAGATAACCTACATCAACCATATTCAATAATAACAATTGGTTAAAGTTTTCACATACATAATATTTATAGAGTTGTTTGTTAGCAGAGTAGATCTTACTGATATGCAGGTTTTCAAACACTCCCCGATAAATATTGACAATCTGGGGCGTTTTAATATGTTGTGGTTAGGTATATTGAATATCTTATATACTTTTTAAGTGTCGACTTTTATATGTGCAACTGCTTAGGTATAGACTAAATTATAAATTTACATTGTTTTGTGAAAAGTTATACATTATGCAGTCCTTTTTGTACTAACGTCAGTGACGAATTGAATTCAATTCTATTCTATTATTATTGGATTAGAGCAATGAACATTTATCATCCATCCCATAGTTGATATCAAACCAATATTCATCTAGCGGTTGACTGAATGAGTAAAATGAACTATTCATGTTAAACAAGCAGCTGCCATCCAGAAACCAGATTAATTTTGAATTATTTCTCCCAAACTTGAAAAATGACTTTGAAAACTTTGCGGTCTACCGTTCAACACTGTTTCAGATATTTCCCTACATTTCTTTTCCAAATAAACAAAAATCACAATTAAACGGAGTCACTACAACTATTACATTGTTCACATTTATTTACATCTCTTTAAATAGTAATGCGAATCGTTCCCCTACTAAATAACTGCTCTGTAACTGATGCAATGTTAGCCAAATATTCTATGATTATTTTGCGACTATAATACATTTGCAACAAAATGCGAAGCTAGCTACAACTTCTACTTGCCATATTCCTTGTACGTGGAGTACAGTCATTCAGAACTTACCACCAGAGTTATCCATAGCACTTTCGTTGATTCTCGAAGCTTCTTGTACTTCTTCGAATGTAACAGGCTGGGTGGAGAATCGCGGAGATTTATCAACCACACCAGTTTTCCTCAATCGATATTTTTCAATTCCCGTATTTCCTGGAAAAAGTCAGATAATGAGAGTATTGTAAAGTGCACCAAGTTTTATTTGCTAGTCAAAGAATATAACTTCAGAAAAGTTTCATTCAATATTTTAATTCAACATATTTTTTGTGATTCATATTCGATATTACTTTTTTATTTACAATTTTCGAAGATGTAAAAAATAATTTTTCTTTGCAGAACAAGTAATATGTTAATCTTATATTTTACTGGTGAAGATAACATGAACTGTGAGATGTTTATAGTAATTTTTCAAGTTCAAGGTTTAATTAACAAAATATTTTTTTTTACATCGATATACCATCACCTATATCTTTTCATAATGATATTGGGAGAAGTACTTTTTAATTGCATTACTACTAATTGATATTCTTTGAGCTTGTTTATGCCTATACCACTGAATAAAAAAACCAATATAAATATTTATTGGTACCAAAAAACAACTGTTCACAAACTGAAAAATCATAAATAATTAAACAAAATAATAAAACTTACACTTACAAATAGAAAAACTGATGAACTATTTCTAACAGTAAAATTCTCATTCATTTATATATAAAAGGGAATAAAAATCATATATATAAAAGAATAAAACATGCATTTATTTAGGGCATCAAAATTATTGTGTATCTTTGTTTTGAAACCAATTAGGTATTTCTTTTGATTTTGCCCATGATATTGGGGAACTCTACTCACGTTGGCCAAACGAAAATGAAACAACAACAAGAACCGCTTCAACATTTCAGAAAAATTCAAGGAACCGTCGATTTTTTACTACTACTAACACATTCTTCAGTATTGGTATGTCTGAAACTTGCACTGCCAAGAGACGGTAATAATCACCCTAAAATATTTTAATAGCATTGGGAGTCGAATAAATTGTTTCGAAGCCATGAAATCCAGTGAACTGACAGAAGTCATTATATCAAAACTTTGAATTTATTCAGCTGCTCACACAATTCTCAATAAATTCTCTCGAGAAAAATATCTGGTCGAAGTTGGGATCGAACTCACGACCTTCCAGTCGTGAGTTGGGCAACCTTCATTCGGATATGAACTGGAAGAAAAAAAACCCTTTTGAAAGTGACTTTCACATAAACTATGGATCACACGAAAGGAAAAAGTCCTTTCCATTCAGTTTGAACTCCAAAATGGTATTGACATAGATATCATTCATAGTAACTCCCCACATAAAACATTATTATTGTCAATGGTGTTCTTCGAAGTTTCGAGACATGACAATAATAAAGATTTTGTTTGTTACACATACTGTAGCACCACTGGAGTAATTCGACGATATTCATAGACAAATTTGTGACACAAATGTTCCTGAAGACTAATTGTGTTCAAGATATTTTACTTTATAGATATTTCCAATGAGTTATTATTTTGCTGCTTGTTGGTTAATAAAATCAATTTAACTTTGAATAACGTTAACAGCAAAGGTAGTATTTGCAGAACAACTTTGCGATAACATGCTGAACTTGAAAATGTTATAATGTATTGCTTTTAGTTTTCATCCACGGGAAGGTTGACGTATATCCTTCCATTATTAATATATTATTATGTAGTGAGTTGTCTTGAGACCTTTTGAATATTTATTCACATAACTATAAGTTTACAGCGTTATTGGGTGTTATCATCTAGCGTTAACGTCCTCAGAGGATTACGGTCTCCTGAAGAAGCTAACTTGGTCAGCGAAACACGCGTCAAGAGACCGTAATTTTTGTTCTGGTGTTTTCAATAGATTTATTTTACGCCAGAGGTTTCAGTACGAACTATCAAGAATGGTACTCAAGAAACTATTGCATAATGAAACCCCAAGCTAAAGGACAGAGGCAGCTTGTTATGGTTTATGTCAATGTGAGGCACCGAATCACAGAATCCAAATTATTCACAGAAAAATACGACATACATACACAGGACCTGTACGAACTATCACAGTGAACAAGACTGTTAGAATAGGAGTCATGAAAGTATAGGAAAAAAAACACCATAAGCAGTTGCAGTTTTTTTTCCGAAACTAGAAAGAAATGAACAAGTCAGATAACTTCCAAGAAGTAAAAAAATATATCAATAATGAAGAACAGTTTGACATCAAGTTTTTAATTAATAAGTTTTTATTCAATATGAATACCAGTACATATTTATTATATTTTAGATAGATAGTTTCTATAAAATTCCTACCTTTTCCCAGTTTCATTTTCTTAGCTTCTTCTGCAATTGCTTTCATTTGTAATTCCAATTTTGAAGGTTCTAGTTTGCTCTTAGCCTTGGAAGCTTGCATTTCGACATCTTGAGGAGTGCCATCTTCTTCCTGAAAAACAAGTTCAAAATACCTATATGTTTACAACAATGTAGGTATATGAATCAAAACAAAAATACTGTATCTCGACATATGTTTCAAAAATAAAGTTAACATTCACTTTAACATTTTACGTCTACTCCTTTACGTTGAATTAGAGGAAAATCACTTTTTCCCATTCAGTTTGTGTTCCAAACACCATAGGAAAGCTACACAACATACTGTATGGAAGAGTATTAATATAAACTGTCACTTACATAGAACATTATTATCCTCCAGTTCGTATCTGAAACATCTGTGTTTATAAAGAACCTATCTTTATAAAGAATTTCTTTTGTTGTCATTTTTTTCTTTCTTCATAAGTTTTACACATTCTCTATTTTTTATGGAGAATTGAGAAACCAAAAAGATGTTTTCCAAGAAAATAATTTTTCCTAAATATATTTTCCTTTCAATTTATGTAAAATTCCTAAAGCTGGGATTGAATTAACTAACCTTATGAATGTATATGTAACCATCGGAAGCAACAATCTTAGCATGCCAATACCAAAAACAACTCTTACAAAAAATTCAGTTAACTATGAAAGTAGGAAAATATATAACCACCTAGCGGAATATTTAAAAGTATTGAAAAATCTCAAGAACTTTAGAAAGGCAGTATAAGACTTCATCATGTCAAAAGCATACTTGCGACCTGCAGGAATAATAGAATGAAATTTTCTGATCTCAATACAAAAGTCCTACTGTCATATTACTTTATTAATTTGAAGTAGGCTTTACATTTTGTACGTGTCATAATGATCTAACCCAACCTTACTGATTTGTAATGTACTGAACTCATTGTTTCCCTTTCTTTAACCTTCATTTTATTCAGATTTGTTTCTTCTGATGATATGAAATCGTAATGTTGTGAGAAAAATGAGTGCTTGTTATTGTAATATTATCCAAAACAAAGCTGATGAGGTAAAAAAACACGTGTGTTGTCCCGAAACTTCAAAGTACACTATTGAGAATGATTTTGTTCTTAGTAAGTGGTGTTTTATATTAATACTCTTTCATATATTATGCTGTGTGGTATACCTATGAATGATATTTGTTTCAATACCACAATGAATGTTTCTTGTACAAAGTGAATGGGAAAAATATATTTTTGTGCAACTCAACGTTTATATGGAAATAGATGATTTGAAAGGACTTTTTTCTTTCCTGTATCTTAATTCTCATGTAGTAGTATGGATGTTTGGATGTTTCACACATGTTTTGTTTATTTATTGGTTACTACACATAACACCTGACAGAAACAAGTCTAGTCAGTAGCGGGTCCAGAATAATCTTCGGTGGGGGGAATGCTCAAGATAAAAGACAAATTTTCTGAAATACTTCTGCTGCTTGAATGTGTGTGATTGACATAGGTATATTGATAGAAATTATAGACATTTGAAATTTTTACTTGAAGTGCAAATATACACAGAAATACGGATAGAGAGCATGATTTATTGTAGTGGAGAGATAAAAATATACATTCCAGATATATTCACCTCACATGCTTATTGCCTATTCAAGTATTAAAACGCAGTATATTTTTTATTCAGAAACTTCCTGGAAGTTTTATTGGAAAATCTTACCTGTTCCAGTTCAAGACCGTCTCCTAGAGACTGAAAGGCTGAATCGGAAGACATTTTTCCGCAAGAGAAATTCTCAGAGCTACTTGGGTTATGTAGAGACGAGGAGAAAAAGCTATTCAGATTACTGTCATTTTCTAGGGACGTGGTGAAATCCAGGAGGCTACGGACGTCGAAATTAGGAGAATTGCTTGATAGATTGCTCTGATTAGTCGGATGATCTTCGATGAATTGAGGACTTTTTAGCAAATATCGGCTGAAAAATAATGAACACTGATAATTTTGAACACAGTCAAGTCTTGAGGTTAATATTTGTTGACCATTTTTCTCTTTATTCATTGTGATTGATCCATTGAAAACATTACAGGTTATATTGCGCACAGATTTTAGAAAATATCTATCTATAGAGAAAATAACTTGTTTTCCAAAAATTATCACATAATTTTTTTCCTTCCAACACAAGTATACACTGTCACCGATAAAGTCCGCATCAAATGGGAAACTTTTTTATTTATCGTTTTATGTGAAATTTGATTTTGGCAGTAGATTTTGCTTAAGAAATGATGTCAAATGGCGTCTACAAAATAGGTCACGTGATTTCCTTAACCTGTCAAAATTGACATTTAAAAAAAGAAACATCGAAAAATGACATTATTCTTC